GAAATATATATGTTTTTAAATAATTGAAATAAAATAAGAAAATTTTCATTTAAACATTTTACATTTAAATAATAATACATTTAAAATTGTTTTGTTAAATATAAATATTTAACAATACACACGATACCTTATTAAACTGTTTCATATAACATTTTATATAATTTGTATATATGAATCTGCTTTGTACCTTTCTGATTGAATCTACCAGAATTCCATTTAAATCAAGACCTATTTTCCAATGCAGATGATAATGCTGTATTCTCCAGGGTTAATTTCGAGAAAGCTTTCACTGGCGAATTTCCAATTCATAGGCCCGCTGAGGTTTCGCCATCCGCGGCCGGCCGAACGCTGGTCGGGCGTGCTGAATGCGACCACCCTGCCGAACAGCTGCGTGCAAATCCTGGACACGGTGTTTGGCGACTTCCCCGGCGCCACCATGTGGAACCCAAATACGCCATTGAGCGAGGACTGCCTGTATGTGAACGTGGTGGTGCCGCGGCCCAGGCCTAGGAACGCTGCTGTCATGGTATGGATATTCGGTGGTGAGTTCCCAGTGATGAGAATCCATCATCTCGATTCATCTTCGAACGTACAATCTAAGCGCGATTTTGCTGATAAAATCTCCGTTTTTCACGTAGGAGATCGGAAGTAATTTCAAAAAGTTTTCAAAAGTTTCCCATTGTATTTCTAAAAAACGTGAACAGCGTTGTCACAAATTCCTCATCTCAAAAGTCTATGATTTTTTTCTATTTAATTTCCAAATAAAATTTCATGATTTTCCCTGACTTTCAATGATATTTTGAAATTTTTTGTATTTTTGTTCTGATTTGGAAACCACTAAATATTATTGTTGAGAGATCAACTTACTTAGCATTGTAAATTATTATTAATATTACTATTGCTTGCATATTTAATTGTTAAGTTGATAATATCCCAAAACTATAAAGTGTGAGATGTGTATATATTAAATTTCTTTAAAGCCAAAAATTTTTATTTTCCAAGAAATTTTACAAAATTTCCTGACTTTTCCTTGATTTCCCTGATCGTTTTCAATTTTCTTGACGATTCCCCGATTTCCCTGATTTTCAATTTTGTGACAATCTTGATAAGATATTGCGACCTTTACATTCCTCATGCGACTTTGTGTTTTTTTCAATAATTGCAAAATCGGAAGCGTTCCTGAAAGCCAGTTTGTCAAATCCTTTTCAGCTCCACCGTCACGCTCTGAATGATGTCAGCGAGGCATTATGCTGCCGTTTATGCCAATTATAAATCTGTGATTCTTTTATTGCTCTGTCACCATACGCTTGTTGCGGCCTGATTGATGCCTCTGTCAGCGGCTTATGTAGCAAAATAAAATTTAATTTCCGAACGTTCTTCAATTTAGGGATATTTTTAGCTGTGACGCGCGACCTCACGCACACTAAAAGAAAAAAATCACCGAATAAATTGCACTATTAGAGAGTATCAAATGGTGAAATTACGTACGTGTCGACACCGATACCTCAATATGTGCGAGAATTTCTGTAAATTATGCAGTACAAACTTACGTTTTTAAAAGAAGGTTAAAAAGGCGCTAAGAGTACGCACTCTTTGAAAAAGAATTATTTTACTAAAAGTAAAACTCAAGTGGCACTATCTTTTTCATTGAAAGTCTTCTTATTCCAATCCAAATAGTTGCGGCTTTAATTTTCCTTCAGAAATTACTACATCATAAAACTTTACTCAACTCAAGTGATTTCAGGAACTCTCTTTGAAACTCTAATATGGCACAAAGATAAAATAGAATGTATACGAATAAAAAAACTCTTTATACATAAACATACATTTACAATTAAATATTCAATATATAAATACAAATAAAAAATTTTATTGTTGATTATAGATAAAATAAAAGATAAAATAATAAATAACAATTAGAGGAAAGCTCCCTATTATGAGATAGGCGCCTAATGAGATAGTAGCGTTTCTGCTAACAGACGCTATTTGTTGGTTCCATCATGAATTTATTGCTCTTGGATTGCTCTTGGAAAACTATTTAATATTCATTATTAAATCATGTCTGTAGTCATTGTAAAAAAAGATTTTAGAATTTGAATGCCTTCAAGTTTCATTGGGATGAGCTTTCAAACATTATTTATTTAATAAATAAATATTTGACAATAAATTCTTCATGTAATGATAGAGTAAGATCGTGCTAATAGAAAAATTCGGGATTTGTTGAAATTACTTAATTACAGAAGTTAAATTTGATGATCGTAAAATCATAAGGCGTGGAAATCGTAATATGAGATACCCAGGATATTCTTAATATAAAATTATCCATGTTCTTATGTTCTAATGAAAATCGTTGCTAAAGTATAAATATTATTGTACAATGATAAAAAGGACAATCGGAATGAACGTCGAATGCCTACTTTCACTTGATTTTAACTATCAGAAGACGAGTTCTGGGTATAATGTATCGCATATTCATTTTTCGCGCACTCTAGCTGTTTGTCTGTTTAAGAAACGTTAAATAAAGTTTTTTTAGTTACAATACTGATATACTTTGCGTTTTATTATCGATTTCTCGGGACATCTCATATTAGGAGCACAATTTTTTGATTTTGTGATTTGCTCTTTTTACGTTTCTTTAATTTTCAAAAAAAATGGAATTTGAATTAAATTTTATATAACATTATCTTAAAGCTTATTAAATTCTCTTCAAAATGACCCATTATTTTTTTTAATTCTGCTCATAGACTTCTAGTATATACCCAAAATGAACTCGGTATCTCATAATAAGGGCCTTTCTTCTATGTTATACACATTTAATAATAATAATAATAATTACGATAAAACAATTCCGTACTTTTTGATACTTAAGATTTTGAATACAAAAGATCACAAGGAAGACAAAAACAAATATTGCAAAAAGAAATATTGTGTATACATGCCGGCGCCACTGTGCGGCCGCGAAACTCAAGGATCTCTGCGACCCTTTTTTCAGGTGGCTTCTATTCCGGCTCAGCCACCCTCGACGTATATGACCACAAAACCCTGGTATCGGAAGAGAACGTAATCATGGTGTCGATGCAATATCGCGTGGCTAGTCTCGGCTTCCTGTACTTCGGCACGTCCGACGTGCCCGGTAATGCTGGGCTCTTCGATCAGATGATGGCTCTGCAATGGGTACGCGACAACATCGCCGCGTTCGGCGGCAATCCTGAGAACGTGACGCTCTTCGGCGAAAGCGCGGGCGCGGTCTCCGTCTCCTTACATCTTCTGTCCCCGCTGTCCAGGTTAGTTTTAATCCGGTAATCACCTGGAGTGTTTTTATGCCTGAGCCGCGAGAATATGTGAATTGTAAAAAATATTGTATTATATGGACATTACTCAACATATTTGTTTTCTTTTTTAATATCTATTCTTTATAAAACTTTAAATACGCAATTCCATCGAAAATAAGCATAATTAAAATAGTGTTCTATTAATTAAAATTTTTGTTTTTTAAAGGCATTCTTATAATAAGCTATTCCGTGCTTATTCCGCTTAATATAATATTTGCTTGGTTTCCACTTACATTCTTTTAGAAAATTCTGATTAAATTTGTGTCTATAATATTCTCAAATGTTAATA